AATATTCTTTCGATAAAAAATTGTATTTTAAAATGTATAAAATTTTAGACTCAACATTCATGAATTTATATTCACATAAAACATGTAAGAAACTTAAAACAATTACCTTTTTAAACATTTTTATAACGATTTAAAGTACAAATTATTTAACTTAATAAAATGATGAAATTTTGCACTCTTATTGTTATAAATATATTAATAACGTTTTATTCTAAAAATTTAGAAAAATATCTAATTCGAAATAATATACAACGGCATCTACAGGTACAATAAAGATTTAAAGAATTCACATTATAATGAACGTGTATGTGTCACTAGGCGCTGTGTGTGGTGTACATTTACAGTGTATAATTAATATGTAATTTGAAATGTGTGCGATTAAGTGATATATCTAAAAAGTAATTTCTTCTCGTCGTATTATTTACATACTTATACAAAATGAGTACAAAACCGATGTTCTTAAAACCCGGTAAGTTTTATTATCCAAACCAATCTTCAAAAATATAGTATTAATTATAGTGATATTACGTTGTTTTTAGTTTCAAATAATTTTATAATCTTATATATTTCCTGTATAATTATGTTATATCATAATATTGAAGCGTATTTTTGGTAAAAATATTGTACAAAGTAATGTACAATATAACCTATTACAAGCATTAATTTGTACTATTATTGAAAGTGATTTATATTTTATGTCACATTATGAATTTAAATTTGTTTATTATTTCAGGAGACAGTAGTACGTGGCAGGAGGATAAATCTGATATCGATGCTCATTCTTCCACACAATTTGTATACAATGCACATCACTCACTTGCTTTGCATATGCAACGTCAACGATTACCCACATTCAAGTATAGAAGTCATATTATTTATCTACTGGAAAAATATCAAACATTAGTCTTAATTGGAGAAACTGGATGTGGAAAGAGTACACAGCTTCCTCAGGTAAATCTATAATTCATTTTATTAAATAATTGGACACTGTAAGAATTCATATTATTAATATAATTACATTGATTATTCGTTAAAATTATATACTCTAATACTTATCAGATTATCTTAAGAAAATATTGTTATCATATATTTAAGTTAAAGCAAGCCTAGAAATATATACAATAATATATCTTGCCTGTAATAAGTAAGTTAAACATTTGCAAATAATCTATGGAAGCTAACAGTCATTAAAAATTGTAGACACTGATAAAATTGACAATGCAGGTAATACCTAATTTTTTTAAATGCAACAATTGGTCATTCCTTGTTTTCTCATTTACTCAAATTGTTTCCCAAAGACAATGGAATTTAATGTAAGTGAAGTGATAAAGAATGACTTTGGCTAACAATGAACTTGGAAAGAGGTTTTCAGATGAGTTGAGACTATTTATACATCAAAATTTTGTTAAAAATTTGGTGCAATAGTGCCTCAACTTATGAACTTAATTTGTTCTAGTCTGAAATTCGTATCTCGAATCTGAGTTTTCCATTATATGGTAACTCGGGATTATAAAATCATGCTTCGTTTCTTGAAATTAAGTTTGTACCTAAAAATCAAAATGAAGTATGAAAAAAGTTTGTATGTCAAAAAGTTTGTATGTAGAACGGTTTGTAAGTCGAGGTACCATTGTACTTACAAAAAAAAAGATAGACAA